CAGAGGATGGTTCAAGTCCTTGGCTCCCTATACCCAGGTGGGAGACCCAGAAGAAGATCTAGGCTTCTGGCTTAATCAGCGTGGCTCCCACTTTGCTGTTTGGGGGAGTGAACTAGCAGATGCAAGATCTCTTCTCTCTGTCTCTGCTACTTTGTAATTTTGCCTTTCCAATAAAAATATTTGTGGTATAACAGATTGTGTTTAACATATTCATTATTGCATAATTAGGATACATTAAGATGTTTCAAAGTTAAGACTTTTTTTTTTTTTAATTTTTAGTAATGATTACATGGCTTATCAGGGTGAGAAGGACCAGGGTTTAGGGAAAATTGGGTGAACTCATTGCTTCCAAAATTGCTATTTCTTCTTGTTGTTCCTGGGAGAAACAAATGGGGAAACCATTCCTGACTTTCCACACATCCCAGTACCCAGGGATGAGGAACTGCCACCTCATATCAACCCAGAGTCTCGGGCCCAGTGGCATGGCCTAGCAGCTAAAGTCCTCGCCTTGAACGCGCCGGTGGGCGCGCCATATGGGCGCCGGTTCTAATCCCGGCAGCCCCACTTCCCATCCAGCTCCCTGCTTGTGGCCTGGGAAAGCATTCAAGGACGGCCGAAAGTCTTGAGACCCTGCACCTGTGTGGGATACCCAGAAGAGGTTCCTGGATCCTGGCTTTGGATCAGCAAAGCATTGGCCATTGCACTCACTTGGGGAGTGAATCATCGGACGGAAGATCTTCCTCTCTGTCTCTTCTCCTCTCTGTATATCTGACTTTGCAATAAACAAATAAATCTTAAAAAATTTATATTTATTGGAAAGGAAGATTTACAAAGAGGAGAAAAATAGCAAAAACTTTTCCCTTTGCTGGTTCACTCCCCATGTAGCTGTGACAGCAGGTGCTGTGCCCATCCAAAGCCAGGAGTCAGGGGCCTCTTCTTGGGTTTCCATGTGTGGGTGCAGGATCCCAAGACCTTAGGCTATCCTCAACTGCTTTCTCAGGCCACAGCAGAGAGCTGGATGGAAAGTGGAGCAGCTGGAATCCTGGAGCTACAAGGTAAGGATTTAGTCATTGAGCCTTTGTGCCAGGCCACAGTTTTATTACTATTTGTTAAAACAGGAACAGCAGGCCAGTGAACTCTACCATCGCTTCATTATAACTAAAGCCTCTGTCAAAATGAAGCATGATATACAGAATACAGCACGCCTTTGAAGGTTTTCTTTAAAGTTCTTGTTAATGGACCATTTACCTTGTATCACGAAATACTGTACATAGATGATCTCATTTAATCATTACAATTGCTTGTGTTAGGTATAATTAACTCCCTTTTATTGGTGCTGATGAAACAGGAAGAGGTAATATTAAAGTTGGAGCTGGGGTTGAAATCAAGATCTTTCTGATCTCAAATCCTGTGCTGCTTTCACAGCATCTTGATTTTTCTAGGAAACAATCTTAGAAGACAGTGAACTGTTTGCTTCACGGATTGTGAAGTATTTTTTAAAAAGATTTTTCTATTTTGCTTTTTAAAAAGTATTTAATTTATTTTTATTGGAGAGGAGAGACAGAGAGGAAGATATTCCATCCATTGATTCACTTCCCAAGTGGTGGCAATGGCCAGAGCTGATCTGAAGCCAGGAGCCTCTTCCAGGTCTCCAAACTTTGGGCCATTCTTGACTGGATTCCCAGGCCACAGGAACAGAGCTGGATGGGAAGCAGGGCTGCTGAGATATGAACCAGCGCCCATATGGGATCATGGGCATGGAAGGAGAGAGGACTTTGAACTGTTAGTCCACCATGCTGGGCCCAAAGATTTATCTATCCTCTTTTTCTTTTCTTTCTTTCTTTCTTTTTTTTTTAAGATTTACTTATTTTTATTACAAAGTCAGGTATACAGAGAGGAGGAGAAACAGAGAGGAAGATCTTCCATCCGATGATTCATTCCCCAAGTGACCGCAACGGCCAGTGCTGCGCCAAGCCAAAGCCGGGTACCAGGAACTTCTTTTCAGGTTTCCCAAGCGGGTACAGGGTTCTGAAGCTTTCGGCCGTCCTCTACGGCTTTCCTAGGCCACAAGCAGGGAGCTGGATGGGAAGTGGTTTCCGGGATTAGAACCGGTGCCCATATGGGATCCCGGGGCGTTCAAGGCGAGGACTTTAGCCACTAGACCACGCCGTCGGGCCCGATTTATCTATTTTCTAATGGAATTTTTAAAAAGATTTATTTATTTTTTTTATTATAAAGTCAGATATATAGAGAGGAGGAGAGATAGAAAAAAATATCTTCCATCAGATGATTTACTCCCCAAGTGAGCGCAACGGCCTGAGCTGCGCCTATCCTGAGCCAGAAGCCAGGAACCTCTTCCGGGTCTCCCCTGCAGGTGCAGGGTCCCAAGGCTTTGGGCTGTCTTCCACTGCTTTCCCAGGCCACAAGCAGGGAGCTGGATGGGAAATGGAACTGCTGGGATTAGAACCGGTGCCCCTATGGGATCCTGGCGCGTTCAAGGTGAGGACTTCAGCCACTAGGCCGTCGTGCTGGGCCCTGGAAATTTTTGTTTAAAGATTTATTTATTTTTATTACAAAATCAGATATATAAAGAGGAGGAGAGTCAGAGAGAAATGTCTTCTGTCCGGTGATTCACTCCCTAAGTGACCACAACGGCCATTGCTGCGCCAATCCAAAGTCAGGAACCAGGAGCTCTTCTGGGTCTCCCATGTAGGTGCAGGGTCCCAAGGCTTTGGGTCATTCTCTATGGCCTTCCCAGGTGAAAAGCAGGGAGCTGGATGGGAAACAGAGCAGCTGTGACTAGAATCGGTGCCCACAGGGCCCGGCGCAATACCATAATGATTAAAGTGTTCGCCTTGGACAAGCCAGGATCCCATATGGTCATCGGTTCTAATCCTAGCAGCTCCACTTCCCATTCAGCTCCTTGCTTGTGGCTTGGGAAAGTGGTTGAGAATGGTTCAAAGCTTTGGGACCCTGCACCTGCTTGTGAGACCCAGAGGAGCTCCTGGCTTCTGATTGGCTCAGCTCCAGCCATTGCAGTCACTTGGGGAGTGAACCATCAGACAGAGGATCTTCCTCTCTGTCTCTCCTCCTCTCTGTATATCTGACTTTCCAATAAAAATAAATAAACAAACAAAAAAAAAAACTGGTGCCCATATGGGATCCTGGCACGTTCAAGGTGAGGACTTTAACCACTACATTATTGTGCTGGGCCTGGAAATCTCAATTTACAGAGAAGGAACTACAGAAAGTAGCTGCAAAGTCAGAGCTGATCTGATCTGAAGCCAGGAGCCAGGAATTTCTTCTGGGTCTCCCATGCGGGTGCAGGGTCCCAAGGCTCTGGACCGTCCTCTATTGTTTTTAGGCCACCAGCAGGGAGCTGGATGGGAAACAGAGCAGCTGTGACTAGAACCGGCGCCCATATGGTATATTGGCACATGCAAGGCAAGGACTTCGACCACTAGGTTCTTGCTTGGGGCCTAGACCATGACGTATATTCAAAAGCCTAGGAGTTGAGGACTGTCACGTGTCATTTCAGATGATCTCTAAAACCCCTCATTTCCAAATCGGATACTCAAACTGAACGGACTTACAGGGGCTCAAAGCCCAACCACTTTTTTTTTTTCACAAATGGTGAGCTGAAGGGCTAGCCAAGAACATTGGCCTCAAATCACACTGTGAATGGCCAGTCAGTTCCGGGCTGTGTTCTTTCCCCACCACTTGCTCTGAATTTGGGGAAGTTGTGGCAGGCCCAACGGCCCTCCCCAACTTCTCGGCTGGGAAACTGCCCCTCCCCACGGAGGTGACTTGGCCAAGGACACACTGGCATGAGCGAGGACTGGAACTGCCAAGCGACACGTCGCCGGGCCTGTTCTAGGCGATAATGCCCAAATCCTCAGCGCATCCTAATCAGGGGCCTGCTTAGGGCCAGCGGGGCGGAGTCGCGGCCTGAGGCTTCCGAACGACCCGGGCTCGGTCTCCGTCTGCTCCAGGGGGTCGAGCCCAGCGGGCTCCAGATCCCGAGCCCTCTTCCGGGACACGCCTGAGGAACCGCAGCGGGGGCGCCGTCCAACAGTCCTTCCAGGCCCAGGCGACCTCACCGCGGCCCGCCCTCGGCCCTCCACGGCCGTGCGGCCCTTTAAGGGCGGGGGGGGCGAGGAGGGAGGACACACGCCGACGTCACAAAGCGCCGCCAGCACTCGGGCCGGCGGGGGAGAAGGCGGGGAAGGGGGAGGAAGAGGAGGAGGGCGAGGCGGGCCGGGAGGGAGGGGCGCGCGCACGCGCGTCGGGCCGCTCGCCGCCGAGAGCCGTCCCCCTCCCGGCGCGCGCCCCTCCTACCTCTCGCCCTCCCTCTCGCCCTCCCTCCGACTCGGCTCCGTCGCTCCCGCGGCGCGAGGCGCTCTCGCTCTGCTCCTGCGCCCCTCCCCCCGCGCAGCCGCCGCCGCGAGACCCCCGCCCCCTCCGGCCCCGCGCGCCCTCCCGGCCCCGGCGGCCCCCGAGGAGAACGAGAGGGCGAGCGAGCGCGGCGCTCCCGGGCCGCCGGCGCGGCCCCTTCCCCTTTACCATCGCCGGCCCTCCGCCGCCTTCCTCCGCTGCCACCTTCTCTTCGCCATCCCCCACCCCACACCACCACCAGCACCGCCGCCGACGCCGCCGCCACCACCACCACCACCACCACCACCACCACCGCCGCCGCCGCCACCACCAGTCGAGGCCCCCTCCGGGGGTGGGGGGGAGGCCCGGACCCGGAGGCAAATTCCCCTAACTCCCTCACCCCCTGCCCCCATCCGGCCCGAGTGTGAAGAGGAGGGCCCGGCCCGGCCCGCGGTCGTGTGTGAGGAGGACCCCGGGCGGGCCCGCGGGCCGAGCGAGGCCTGATCCGGCCCGCCGGGTGTGTGTGCGGCCCGGCTCGAGGGCGAGCGGAGGGGAGGGGCCTGGTCGGGCCCGGCCGGTGCGTGAGGACTGGGGCCCCGGCCCGCACGGCCGCCGCCGCCGCCGCGATGGCCCAGCAGCAGATGACCAGCTCGCAGAAGGCCCTGATGCTGGAGCTGAAATCCCTGCAGGAGGAACCGGTGGAGGGCTTCCGGATCACCCTGGTGGATGAGTCGGACCTCTACAACTGGGAGGTGGCCATCTTCGGACCCCCCAACACCCTCTACGAAGGCGGCTACTTCAAGGTACTCCCTTCCCCCGACCTGTCCGTGCGGGCCCCGGGGCCTCGGCTTCCACGCCGCTCCTGGCTTGTTTTCGGGGCCCGGCGTGTGAGCGCGGCGGAGGGAGGGGGCTCCTCACCTCGGCGGCGGCCTCCCCCATCCGCGGAGGCCAGAAGGCCTTGCTCACCGGGGGCCTTTTCTTTGTCCTGTGGGTTAGGGGCGGGAGGCCGGACTACACCGGGAGAGAGGGAAGCCTCTTTCGGACTGGGGTCTTGGCTCCCGGAGGAGGAGGAGGAGGAGAAGGCCCGGTCTTTGTTTGCTTCCCAGCCGAGGGGGTAAAGGACGGGGAAGAGGTGGTGGTGGTGGTGGGGTTGCAGCCTTCCCTACTTGCCCTCCCATCGGAGCCCTCCCTAACGCAGCTGGAAGTGCCCCAGAGGGCAGGGTGACCTGCACTGACTGGATTGGACTTTTCTTTTTTGGGGGGGTGAGGTGGGGGAGGGGCATTGGCCTGTCATTCCCGAGGTTGCCAGTGCCCTGACATTTTGAGCATTTGTTGAGCTGTGATGGTTCTAACTTTGCGTTCCAGTGGGAGATAAGGAAGACCGAGACCCTAGGGGTTATTAAGAAAGAAAAGTTGGGGGGGGGGTGCTTGTTCTTTTTTTTTTTTTTTTTAACCGCTGTTCATTTCTGGGAACTTTAATTTTGCTCCTTTTCTGTCCTGACTCTCAATTTATCTCGGTCAGTGGTTCTTTCTAAGTGCCCTTTGTCCTCATCCAGGCCATTTCCCCCCTCCCTACGTGTAGAAATATCCAGAGGGTGCAACATGTTTTTTAGGGAGATAGGTGGTTTGCCACCTCGGGGAGACAAAATTGAAAGCTTTTGCTCAGGTGGTTGCTTACTTAACAAATGGGGTTGTCTCCCAGAGAAGTGTTGTGGTCCAGGTGAGGGGATTTCTCTGGGCGGGACCAGAGACATTGTTTCTTTTTTTGTTTGTTTTGTTTTCCATGATTTTAAGACAGTGGTTATTATTTCCAGAATCCAGTGATTTTGTTGTTTTCTTTTAACCCCAAAGCAGATAACTTCCAGATACTGAGTTTGGTTATGTTTTTACTTTAGCCTTTGTGCAGACTGTAATAGATTGAAGACTTGATTCATATAAATGCTGGAAACAGAGAGGAAATAGTGTTTAGGAATGCATTTAATTTTTTTATTTCCACCAAAAAAATAGGCCAGTGAGTCAATTTTAGTTTGTTTTGAAGGGAGGGGTTATCTTGGCACCAGTTTTAAATGAGTATCTTAGTCATGTAGTTGTGGTGTGTATTTTTAGGACTACCCAATTACTTAACTCTTGTTTTCTGTGCTTCTAAAGGTGGAAACCTCAATTTCAGATGTGAAATTAGGTCAACTTTGTAGGAAATGGGATTAATATGGAAATGTTTAATATTCAAGCCTGTGATAGTCTTTGAAAAGCACATTTTTAGAGTATTATGTAAGAACAGTACCTGTATCAGTTAATTGCTTCTCTTTTTTTGGGGGGTGGCGATTTTTAAAATTGCTGAGAAAAGGTGCAAGTGACAGTGACAAATTGGAAAAGATTGTTGTCTGTTGTCAAATACCAGTTTTTATTTGTATATACTGGAAAAATGAGTTACACAAGATGGAATTTATGTGAAAACTTTTCCAGCCAAATAGTAGGAAAATAGGCAGCTGAAGTTAATAGAATCCATTTTTATTTCCAAAATGTCATTTTTTGGTGGATAGCTAATGATTGGAGTAAATGGGTACTTGTTAGACTGGCATTGCTCCAATACAGTATGTTAAAAATTGGATAGGAGAGGAGTATTGCAAATGGTATATTTTTGCATCAGTAATTGGGAAAGAAGTGTGTGTAGAAAATCCTCTCAATTTGAAAATAGGTAGTATGGAAGGCTTCTCTATTGATTATATTGATTTAAACCAAATGTTTATTTTCAGTCCTGTTTAAAAAGAATGCTTTAATGTTTGTTTTAGTATGCTGAGTTTCTTGATATTTGTTTTTAGTTCTAATTCCACAAAAATGAAAATTCTTAAACAGATTTTGTTTTGTCTGGTAAGAAGTATATCATAGGGGATAGATTGAAAACCATTGTTTGTTCCACTGTTTTTGATAGCTGTGGAAGGGGACAGTTTTCCCTACCAGTATTTTTCCTACCAAATTTTAGTCCAATTTTGCATGACTTATTTTCAGGTTAAACTTTTTTTTTTAATATAACTATTTCTGAAGGCAGTGAAATTTCCAGTGATTCTTTAACTTTCTCATAAAGTGATTTTTCCTAACTTTTACCTACTAATAGGTTTATAGCTCACCTTTAGCACCATGAAATATAGTTGACACTATAGAATCTACTTGGGAGAGTTATGAGATCTGTACTATTCTTCAAACGTTTATTTTTGATTTCTCCTGCATTTGCTTATTTAATGTTTCTAGTCTGTGTGGTTTTCAGCATTAAGGGAAATGGTTGTAAAAGTGGTTTCTTCTATTTTCTGTACTATATAAATTTTTAAGTTTGTCATCTTTTTGCCTGATTTATTCCAATTTATTTGTCACTTTGAATTTTACTCTAGGGATTAAAAATCGTTCAACAAAAAAAGTATAGAGGATTGCTTAGCACACTGAGAACCTTGTGTATTTATTTTGATACTGTAGAACAAATCGGAATTTTCTTGTCACTGGAAGCATGAGTAATAGCTCAACTCAACGGTTAATGAAGATTTTCTTTTTTTTTTTAAAGATTTATTTTTATTATTTTTTTTATTGGAAAGGCGGATATACAGAGAGGAGAGACAGAGAGGAAGATCTTCCGTCCGATGATTCACTCCCCAAGTGAGCACAACGGGTCGATACTATGCCGATCCGAAGCCAGGAGCCTCTTCCGGGTCTCCCACGCGGGTGCAGGTTCCCAAGGCTTTGGGCCGTCCTCGACTGCTTTCCCAGGCCACAGGCAGGGAGCTGGAAGGGAAGCGGGGCTGCCGGGATTAGAACCGGCGCCCATATGGGATCCCGGGCGTGCAAGGCGAGGACCTTTAACCACTTGCGCCACCGCGCCGGGCCCTAATGAAGATTTTCTTAAAGACTTATTTCATTTTTATTGGAAAGTTAGACATACAGAGAGGAGGAGAGACAGAAAGATCCTCCATCCACAGACTCACTCCCCAAACACCCTCAGTGAACGGAGCTGATCTGATCCGAAGACAGGAGCCAGGAGCCAGGAGCCTTGAGCTTTCTCCAGGTCTCCCATATGGGTGCAGGGTCCATGAATGGCTTTGGGCCATCTTTGATTGCTTTTCCAGGCTGGGAGCTGGATGGAAAGCTGGGCTGCCTGAATTGGAACCAGCGCCTATATGGGACCCTGGGAATGCTAGATGACTCCAGCCACTAGTCTGCTGCACAGGGCACTAATGAAGACTTTTTAAAAAGTTCACTGCGTTTCCTTTAAATGAACTATCATGTCCATTTTCTCCTGATATGATCATAACTGAGAGGAGGCTCTTTGGTGTAGAAACTCATTGGAACTGCTGAATTATTCACCAAAAACAAGGTAACAATGAATCTAGAGTCAGAATGTAAGTACCTCTTTCATAATATGTGTAATAGCAATAACTTAAAGTATTGCAGTTGGGAGTTTTGTTGGTTTTTATTTAATAATGCAAGATAGTACAATCTGGGTGTGTTGCATTTTTAGAAGACTCCTGATAACTTAGAAAGTTATTATAAAACTCAGTTTTCCTTAATGAGACCACTCTATCAGCTTTTAAACATTGACTTACTGTTTTTCTTTTAACTTGAATTTCATTGTCTTATTATTATTACTATTGCAAAGTCGGATATATAGAGAAGGAGAGACAGAAGGATCTTCCGTCAAATGATTCAATCCCCAAGTTTCTGCAATGGTTAGAGCTGAGACTATCTGAAGCCAGGAGCCTCTTCAGGGTCTCCCACATGAGTGCAGGGTCCCAAAGCTTTGGGCCATCCTCGCAGGCTTTCCCAGGCCACAAGCAGGGAGCTGGATGGGAAGCAGGGCTGCCGGGATTAGACTGGCACCCAAATGGGATCTCAGCACGTGCAAGATGAGAACTTTAGTTGCTAGGCTCCATGGTCACAGGCTTCCCTTTCCCAGTAGCCTGAAGGAGAGAGCTCTAGAGCTCTAGAGAAAATATGAAGCAGGAGGTTGCTTCAGTCCTTATTTGGTGGGGAATATTGGCTGGTGTCTGCCATTGGTTCACAGTGACTCTGTTGCCTGAGGGGTGTGCCAGAATTCTGCCATCCCTTCTGGGTTGTAGCCTGAGGTTAGAGACATACTAGGCTGGAAGCAAGCTCCTCCTCCTTCCAGTAACCATGGTAACAATCAGTTCCCATCCCTCATCCCATTCCTTTTTTGCTTCAATTTAGATCTTCCCCTTGGGTTACAGGAATCCAATCCCTTGGGCCATTCTTTCAGGCTCCCAGGGTCTGCACTAGCAGGAAGCTGGATCTGATAGCTCTGGCATCTAACCCCGGGGAGTAGCTATGTAATGCTTTTGTTTGTTTTAAAGTTTATTTTGATTTAGAAGGCAGATATATCTGGAGGAGGAGAGATCTTCCATCTGATGGTTCACTCCCCACATTGCCACCATGACTGGAGCTGAGCCTATCTGAAGCCAGGAGCCAGGAGCATCTTCCAGGTCTCGCACATGGATATAGAGTCCCAAGGCTTTGAGTCATCCTCTGTTGCTTTCCCAGGCCACAAATAGGGAGCTGGATGGGAAGCAGGGCTGCCGGGATTAGAACCGGCGCCCATATGGGATCCCAGCACAGCAAGGACTTTAGCCACTACGCTATTGCACCAGGCCCAAAATAAAATAAATCTTAAAAAAATTATAAAAGCAATACTTTTGTGTTATAACGGTTATATGAGCCTTTTAATTTGTTTTAATTGTTTTGAGTGTTTATGACATTTATTTGAAAGGCAGAGTTATAGAGAGGGTAGGAGAGACAGAGATGTTTC